AGATGATCATGGCCTGTGGTCGAAGTGGCCAAGGCACACAAACAATAGTTGCAGATGGTTCGCCACACCAGTAGGCCAGCCAGTAATGGTCGTGGTCGAGCCCCGAGCCAGCCGACTCTCCTCTCCTCGCTTGGGCACAGAGTTTGATGGATGGTCAGGCCAATTGTTTCAATGGGCCGCCCAAGATTATTTAAAGTGAATTGATTTCCTTTATTATTTGTTATTTGAAATCAAAAATGGTTTGAAAAATGTTTGGATGATCAAACTTGTTCCAAAATTGTTGAAACAAAATTTTCTAGGTTCCTTATCACCAGATCTACTTGAGAAAAATAGTGCATGTCATTTTTGATATACTTTTCTATAGGATTTTATTTAATCTTGAATATTATTGATAACTTGAAAAATATGTAGAAAAATATCTAGGCTTCAGTAAAAATATGATTCCAAGTTTGTTAATCTTCTTATGTCATGTACTTCCTAGGAAAAATATATTTCATGCATGTGTTTGTGGAAAACTTTAGAGGTGTAGTTCAAGTACCTTAAATGGCTGATTTTTGTTATTTTTGCTAGAGAGCAAACTTTGTATAAAACAACATGCATGTGATAATTTTGTACAAGTCATTATATACCATGAAGAACCTAGGAAAAATATTAATTTCTGTTGTTTGACACTTTTCATCGTACATAAAGTAATTTCATGCTCATTTTTAGGCTATAGCTTGTTGTCATTTTGTGTAGGATAGTTTACTTATCCAAATGCCATGAAATTTTTATGGTAGTCTGTTTAGGGTAGTAGTATGCTACTGTGTAATTTTCTCAGATTTTTAGGAGCATCAGAAATATAGGTTGCTATTCAAACCTATTATTAATTAAGGTATAAGCAAGTGTTGCCCTAAGTGTGATTAAGAAATTAGTAAAGCTTTGGTGTATCTTTGAAGCATTTCACAAGATAGGTTAACTTGACATATTAGTAGTAGAAGAGAATGCAGTTAGATGACATGTGCTTGTAGCATAGTTTCTTGGATGATGTTGTCTACCTTGCCTTTCAACATGTTCATCGCATTCATCTCCTTCGATGCACCGATTGCATAGGCACTTACACGCATTGCATCATACAGATCGCAAACCGAGAACCCATCGTCATTCCCGAGGAGCCCGAGGAGCGATTCGAGTGGTGCCACCAGGAAGTGCCGGGAAGACGAGGAGAGGACGTTGAAGAACTTCCGAGTGCCCCGATCACCGTCCCGAGCTCCTTCGAGAGAGGCAAGCCCCGAGCATCTTTCTCCCGGTTTGCAATGATTTCGTTAAATGCTTTACTTTAAATTGATGCATTACGTTCAGGAGTTGTTTGCAACCGCTGTTTGCATTATACCTTGTTTACCTTTTGTTATACTACATCCTTGTTACCCGGTATCCGCAATGAAGTCAATGCTTAGTGGCTTAGACCGGTAGAAGTCGGGTGATTTCTGTCACCGCGAGCTATAGGTGGTTACGGATCTCGCTTTGGATGACTATGAAGTCATGGTATAACTAAGTGTTAAATGAAGTTGAGACCCAAGGCGGAGACTTGCGGGGTTTTGGACCTGTAGTGTTTCCGTCTGTGTCGATTAAGGACCGACCGTTGTTGGGCCTCGAGTCATGTTGAACGATGCCTTACATTTAGTTGGCCGGATAAAGTACCTTCCGACCGCTGAAGCCGGGAGATTTTTCGGGCCGAGTAGATTGCCCGCAGCCAAGACCGTGTCAAGCAGTGTGGTAGGACACGGGCGGGATGATAAGACCAAAGTGCAATGGTCGGCCCCGGTACATGTGGTTCTGGCAAACTCGAGATACCGGAAAGTTGACTCGGTGATCAATATCTCACTTTAGCGGGTGAGTGAGATTTGTGTAAGGAATAAATCACGGTGGTTAGGAATCGATTCGAATCGCCATCGCTCCCGGATAGTGAGCACTTGACTTGAGTGACTTCATCGTAGTAAATGTTTATGGAACACTTGGACAGCTTATAGTGAATATGACAAGATGGAAGTTGTTTAATGATCAAGTGGTTATCATTAATTGCTTAATCACATGTTTACTTTAGTATAGGTGCAAATCTAGTCGACAAGGTTAATAATAATTAACTTGACAATAATGCTTTTAGAAAGGTTCTTGAAATGCTAAAATGCTTCTTTTGCAAATGAGTCGAGATACCCTACTATAATGCCCGCATAATCCTTGGTGTCATTTATTTTCGGTTATGTTGAAGTCCGGCCGAGTACCTTCTCGTACTCGTGGTTTTATTCCCACTTGTTGCGATGATGGGCGATGTACTATGGCTATTGTATCAACCGCCTCTATCCCGCGATGGGTGATGCTTAGGACCATGGGCATGGTCATTCCTTACGTCTCATCTAATGCTTTTGTTGGAGATGATCATCAGCTGGCACTATATTTGAACTCCGTGTGAGTGTGTGTGGTTTTAAACAAATGACTTCCGCTACTTTTATTCGAACTTGTTTTGTAATAACTTTCATTTAAACTCGATGTATCGTTATGGAAACTTTTATGTAATATGTGATTGGTGACCGCTAAACTTATTACGACGCATCATGGCTGGGACACGAGTTGGTTTGAAATCCTTCGTGATTTCACGGACTACCGGGTTATACGGGCTTAAGTTTGCTCAATCGTCTGCTCTGGTGGATGATTTTCTTACTTAATTTCGTATAATTGGTCGGTTCTCACATGACGGCCGAGAGTGGAGAAGGGGGTGTCATCGCCTAATGGAGCCCCCAACACTGGAGCAAACGGGCGAGAAGGGCCCAGGAGGGCGCCAGACGCCCCACCCCGGCAGTGCGCCCTAGGTAGGCATGTGCCAGAGGGAGGAGGGCGTCGTCGCTCCCATCGCTCTCGCCGTCGTTACCTAAGTTACCATATCGAGTCTATTAGAGTTTGGATAGAGTTTGGTTACTTATGGAATTGGAGTTTGTTAGTATGAAAGGGAGAATCCAATCCTATAAGGATTTCCCGTAGGTTGCTTGGAGTCAAGTCCTATAGGGACTATAAATACTAAGGGGATGTAATCAATCAAACTAAGCAATAGACGAGCAATTGCTCCTTCCTATCTCCTCCTCTCCTCTCCTGCACCTGCCGCCTCCCCTCTACCTGCGCCACCCTCTCTCCCACGCCGCCTCCCAACCCTAGCCGCCACCCTCACAGCCGCCGCCAACCCCTTCCCCTAGCACGCCTCTTACAAGTTGTCATTTCAAATGTGTGTTAAGGTGGAACAAATGATGCTTCTTGAAAAGGCTGTCTCAGTTACCTTACCACTCAATAGAGACATGAAAGGAAATGAGCAATTCCTAGCAATTGTTGCAACTGTCAATTATCATACCAATACTTCGAACTTAAGGTTACAATATGTACAAGCATTTCGAGCTGCTTCGGGTTTTGTTGTCCTTTACTAATTTATGATATGTGTACTCAAATTAGTGCACACTACTACAATTCATTAGGTTTTCAGTACATGCACTGCAAACTTAGGCACTTTCAAAATCCTGAAATAGTTCTCCACAGGGTTTCCCAGACAAGAGAGTGGAAAGCAAGCCATAAATGTTACATAAAGTAACAAAGATTGATAATATCTAGAAGTATTTGAGATGTTTATGTGATTACGTTGCGCATGAGCACTTGAGAAGGGCAAATGATATGGAACGCCCATACAATAGCACTGCGGGTAGACAATTCAATCCTTATGGAATGAATGATGAATCAACTTAGGTGCCATAAATATAGAGATGAAGCAAATGTCTCTGATTTCACATGTTGCTTCATTATGTGTTCTAATAAGAATGAAGTGTTGAAAAATGATACATAACTGAAAAAGAAATCTTACCTTCTCTAAAGAGCGTCCACATAATGCCTTCATTGCATCATGGAAGTCATCATAGTTCTCAAATTGCACCCGAACTTTGCAATTAAGTCCAGATATGAGCTCCTTATTGGCTCCATCTCCTTTTGCTTCTATCTCATCATCATTGGCAATCTTTAGGTTCCTGAAATTTGGATGGAAGAATGTTGCAAGGAAGTACTAATTTTAAAAGTATCACAGACAGTCAAATGCATTGCATAAACCAGTACTAATTAACTGAGATTTTTTTCATCATATTATTTTGAGGGCCAGTCAGGTAAAAACTAGATGAATACAGATACCAATGAAAAAAATGAAATTGAAGGATCTCTGCATCACCACTTCTGTGAAGCCAATTCACAGGAAATCATTTTTGCAAACTTGCCAGTTTATTGAAAAGTGGTATACTAATCATGGTGTGTTTTTGGATTTTCTTTTTCTAGTTATGATTCAGAATATTCTACACAATTAGTCAATTACAATCACCACTAGTACCTATTTACTAATTTATGTAAGAAAGTATCATATTACCAAAGTACAGAAAACAATAGAGAAAAATGGACTAATACTAACACAAAATGAGGAAGGTAACTCCAAAACTGTGATACAGGTTTTTGCTTATGCACATCAATTCAGTAACACCCATGCACTTTTCAGGATAACATGAGGGTTAGGTACGTGAGAATAAATATTGTTGTACAATTAAAACAAGAGGCTGCCGACACAAACAAAATTGAATCAATGAATCCAACAATGATATGTTGGTCATGCCCAGTTAGTTTAGATGTCTTTAGGCTTTTGCTGTTTCCATTTCTTGTAGCACTAATTCAATTGGGATGCAGCCCACTGATGCAAAAGCACTAACTAGATAATAAGCGAAAGACACATAGTGGACTACGAGCCAAACAAACTCGAGAACACCAAAGCTCACCCTATTTTACCAAGCGCTGAGAAAATAGTGTGGGTGACCAGCGTGGAAGGTTTGGATGATATTCTTGTCTCTGCAAACCATCTGGAAGGCACGCCACGGACAATAATGGTGTCTGGCCTTTTTGCTATCTTTCTCACAGGATTCCCTGATACCAGCAAATGTCAATCCCAACTCCACCTAAGCCAGCAATGCAATCAAGAAAACACGATACAGGAACCAGTTCATACTGCTATTCAGTAGCTCGGAGGAGTAGAAATCCTCCCATGTCTTCTTCATAGTTCTGAAGTCGTCGGACGACGGGATCTCAACGGTCATCCGGAACTTCACCCCCTCGAGGTTGAGCTCGATGCCTTCGAGCTTCTGGACCAGGGTGCTCCGCCACTCGAAGTACTTCTCCTCCTCCTGCTCCCGGGTCATCTCCTCGGTCTCGCCGTCGCCCTCGCGGGGGCGGAGGAAGGAGAGGTCGCGGACGTGGAGGAGCCCAGATGCTACGGGCTCCTCGCGGCGGCGCTTCTGGAGGTCAGGGAGGCGGCTCACGGAGAGATCAGAGTCGGGGAGGAGCGGGAGGGAGAGAGGCGGGTCGCGGAGGAAGGCGAGGAGGGCGGACTTGAGCTGCCACTCGTCGAGGGGCCGGACGGTGAGGTCGGCGCGGAAGAATGTGAGCAGAAGCTTGAGGCGCGGCGAGAGGGAGAGCCCGCTCGGGAGGGGAAGTGGCTCGGTCGGCCGGAGCGCCGCGGCAGCGGACATGGTGCCGTGGTGGGTCACGGCGGCGGCTGGCAGCCTGGGGTTTTGGGTGCGGCGGCCAGCTGACGGGTAGACGGGGAGAAAGGACTTGACCAGAGAAGTCGGAGCGGATGGCTAGATCTAAAATCAATAGTAACGCTCGCGATCATCTATTATTTGAAATTAACACAAATATGATCCAATCCAATTGTTCTATGTTCAAACCGGTTTAACGCAATGGTTTAACAACACAAATATGATCTAATCCCTAGTCTACTTGCTTGCAAGTTCACAGATTAGTAGAATTGGAGCAAGTTCACAGAATAAGCTTATCTATGTACCGTCAATTCCTGTTGGTATGGTTCTCCTGTGTGGCTAAAGCTAAAATTCTGCAAATCTGGGGCTGGATCCACTTCGATTCATGAATGATTTGTGTGCAAGTCAATAATCCAATGGAATATTTGGTATTCCAAGTTCCAAGGCATCAATGCACATACATAAACATAAGGGGAAATGCTGAGGCTTTCACCATGTAGAACTTATGACAACTTTCATATAAATCTAGAAATGCAAGACTTCATTTGCTCACTTTTGGCAAGAGCTCTGTGCAATGAAAAAGCAAACAAAAACAGTCCCCACGGGCCACGGGCCACGGCAAAACCTTACAGCTTCATGCTGCTGAAACAACCTGCCATCAATCATGCTAGTCCGCCCCACCTTTCCCAGGCCCATCTGGAAGAGAAACATGCTGCTGCTCAAGAAACAATTAAACATGAAGGGCGTGAGCCATGACCGTATCATATAACAATATCAGAGCCTACAACCATGTGGGCAGTGCCGTGGTAGTGGCATACAGGCTGATGCGGTTCACAAGTCACCACAGACCTGACAGAACTGTCAGAAGAAATGATTACACAAATTGCCGCAGAAGAGGCACGACACACTATCCAAGGCCTCGTTTAGTTGGCAAAATTTTTAAAAAATGTTACTGTAGCACTTTCGTTGTTATTTGCCAATTAGTGTCCAATTATAGTCTAATTAGTCTTAAAAAATTTGTCTCGTGAATTCCGTCTAAACTGTGTAATTAGTTTTATTTTTTATTTATATTTAATTTTTTTCGAAAGGACGGCAAAAGCTTGCCGCGATTTCTATTAGACGAAGAAAAGAAAAAGAAGGCAAGTGCCCCGTCCAGTTCTTTGAATGAAAACTGGGCAAAAAACCATACAACTGAGGAGAGCCCCGCTCATCCTACACAACTTGATACAACAATTCAGCACCAACTTGTCGAATCGACCCCAGCCTAACCAACTATCTCAACTCACGCCGCCACTTGCGGTGGTCGACGTCCACTCAACTCGACTCTACTAGAACAAACTCTCCACCACCGGCACCACCCACGCAACACAACAATGAAAACGACGACTAGTTCGCCACGAAGCCGCCGTCCCGCCGAGACAAATTCCACAACGACGCCTTCAAGAAGGTAACGACGCCCAAGCGCATTGCCGCCGCTCGTCAAGGTCGGATGGGTTTTCACCGTGGAGAGTCTTTGTGGACGCGACGCCCTCAACGGGAAACGGCACCCGCAGTGTCGCCATCACAGAACCTTCGCCCAAAGAAACCTTGGCATCGTCGGTCAAGATGTCGGGTCCTCGCCAGCACCAAAGACGTCGCCGCCGGACCACGGCCGAGGCCACTCCGAGGGGTCGACCGGCGGCCACACAGCACAGCAATTGTGCGCCAAGACCCGCCGACCGGACCACATGTCAAGAATGACCTTCCATTGCGGTGTCGTCCACCTTGGGCACCGTCCCATGCCACGAAGATCCGGACCGGGCAAGGCCCTGCACCAAAGACTCCCCGAAGACGCCGAGGCCTCGTCCTCGTTGCGGCCGCTCCGCGCCGACCTGGATCATGTGGGGAAGAACGGCATAGAAGGGCCGCTTCAACGCCGCAAGCATGAAACCCAACCACCGCCACAAAATGGCCACCATCGAGAAGGAGAGGGCGGCAGAGAGGAACCCCGGCCACGCCCCGCGCACCAAGACGGCACACGCTGCGTCGGCAAGCCCCAGCAGGAAGTGTGGCCTCCACCGGGCCAACAATGCCAAGAAGACCACCACGGAGCAGCTGCCATCGCCACGCCACACGCCGCCACCGGCATCGTGAAGGAACCACACCGCCACCGTTGATTGCCGCCAGACGCCAAGACGCCGCCACCAACCACAGATCCACCTCCTTGACAAAACCGCCACCGGTGGTTCAGTAGAACACCGGTGCCGTGTAGTCACTACCACCGCAGAGAGCACCAACCGCCCAGTGAAGGCGGATCCGCCGCCAGAGCGCCAGATCCGATAGTCGGAGCCGCCACCGCCCATTGTTACTTGTAAGACGCCGGCGAGGACCAAGACGGCGAAAGGCAGCCTCCATCCCGCGCCCACTCCACCTCCGCCAAAGCAAACAAGTCGTCGCGCCACTCCGCTTTCGACACTGTCGCTGCCATCGCCGGACCAACGGAGAGAGCACCACCACCACCTACGGGCGTGGCGCCACCACCGCCACAAGACAAGCACAAGCCACCGCCCCACCGCCACCACGGACACCACACGTCAAACCGCCGTCGACCGCCATGGATGGGTGGCGCAGAAGCGAAAGCACCACCATGGCGTTGCCAGATCCGGCATGGAGCTGCCGGATCCACCCCTCCACGGCGTCGGATCGCCACCTCCGTCGAGGATGGGGTCGTCTTGAGCGCGCGTCGTTGCTCGCAAGCTGCTAGCGCCGTCGCCGCCGCGCCCACCAAAGCGGACGGGGAGGGACGAAGAGCCCCCGCCGCCGCCACCGTCATTGCGACTTCACGGCGAACAACTCGGGCGGCGGCGAGGATGAGGGCCGCGAGAGGGAGGTGTGCGGCGGCGCAGGCTTGGTCCGCCCGTGTCGCCCTTGGCGAGCGACGCGGACGTCTGTTTTTCACTCTTATTTATATTTAATGCTTCATACATGCGTCCAAAGATTCGATGTGACGGTAAATCTTGAAAAATTTTGTAAAATTTTGGGAACTAAACCGGCACTAAACTCCACAGAAGAACGGGTCGTTGCACATTAACTCAGATGCCACTGTGAAATTCCAAACACTGCCTTCCTCTTCACCAAGACGGGAAATCATATACCCGAGTTTGCTGCTTCCGCATGCCCATCTTGCATTATCTAGGGCTTTCATTTTGGCTGCCAGTTCTTCTGGTTCAGAGCGCCTTCGGAGTCCCATCACAAGAACCATCGACTCCAATACCTTGGCATTTTCAGCAATATACACAAGGAAAGCAAACTCATTGTCATCCCCATGAAACTCCCGGAGCATTAGTCCTGGACACACTTGATGGGACCAGCTTCTTCCCAAAACTTGACGTTCAGGCAACCAGTGGGCTCAACATTTTTTTCCGACTGCAATTCAAGTTCACGAACAGGAACAGTTCAGTCATTATATGCAACAACAACGTAGACAAAGTGGCTAGTGACAACAACAAAAATGCAATTATAGCAAAAGTTTGCGAACAGTTCAGCCATTCGCTCCTACTTAAAAAATACGAGAACAATTCAAGCCCCTTCGTCCCTACGTTGCCCTCAGCCCCACACCCATTTTGTCCGGCACTCACCCTCCATCCATCGATCCATGAGGTCAGTCGCTCCCCAATCAGTGCCCGGGAGGCCGGACATCGATCAACACCTGCTTGCGCCCCACAATCAGCAGCTTGATCCGCCACAAACTCTCTCCGGGTTCACCGCCAAGAGAACGCCTGTCTCGGACAGGATCCCCGAAGACGTGTGAGAGTGCTGGTGGCAGACAGTGGCTAATGTGGATCAGCGGCGGCGGTGTATAACCAAGATACATTGTAAGCCCCATTCCGAAACCTCCGCGCGTCTCGTGCTCTCCCGTCTTACTCCACTCAAGCTATACAGGAAGTGAAATAGGCAGCAGGAACAGCAGGAAGTGAAATAGGCAGCAGGAACAGCAGAACCTTCTCGCTCACACGCAGATGGCCCTACGCCAAGGCGCTCTCACATATCTTCTGGGTCCTGCATGCTAGGTGTTTTTGTTGGAATGCTTCTGTGACTGCCATATCACATTAATGTCAATTAAAACTTGGAATGGGACAAATTTTTGGTTTGTAGGTTTTGCTACATCAGCTCAGGCCTCGATTTCAAATATGTTCAAAATATTGCCCGCTTGTAGGTGTGCAGAAACTAAGTAAAAAGAACACAAACACTACATAAATGTCTTAGTCACTCTGGTAGCAAAAAAAAAAAACTGGATCAAGTAGGTCATGGATTATAATATTATTTCTTTAGTGTTTAATAGATGAAGTACACGAGAAACTTCAGTATTGCAGTTTACACTACAATCAAGTAGGTCTGTATCAAAGTGAAAGATTGTTCTATTGTGACTAAGTGAATGCTGAGGTTTAGCCAATTACGGTAGCTTTATTTGGATTAGCCAATTAAACAGAGAAAGAATAATGGCAGTGTAAACTGTAATGCTGAGGTTGATGTCCAGAAAATGTTGCCGATCTTCAGATCCAGATGCGCAGCAGAGATTTAGATCAGTCACATAAAAAAAATATTTATGCTATTCGTCCATTTTGTCTCAGCCTAGCAAAGATTTAGATCCAGAAACAACTCTTGGTAATCACCTTCCCTCACTTCAACATAGGATTCTTTGTATGTGACTGATGAATATCTGCTGGAGATTTTTGTATTTCCTGTCTAACAACTTGTAGTGGTGGTTGTATCAAAGACATTCACAACAGCTGAAACAATGTTAAATGCTCAAATTCTTAAGGAGTGGATCGTTTCTTCTCTTGGGTTAGTTTAGTACCTGTCTACCTGAAAATATATTTTCACCCATTATCCCAACTTACTGTGATTTGAGTTATAAAAAAAAGTTCATTCAGGCCAAAACACACGATTGCTGACAGTACTAATCTTAAGATACTTATGGACCTTCTATTTTCCACCCAAGTTTTACTGAACTTTTTTCTGTGTGAAGATGGATGATATTTAAATTTGAGTTGAGATGTATGGAATATTTCATATTTATCACATTATCTAATCTATTAGAATATTCAAATTTCATATTATTCAAGATTTTGATTATGACTGTGTTGATGACTGAGAAATGTGCAACAGCTGGTCCCACTTGCAACTTCTACTGCAGTTGGTCATTGAACATACAAAGGGTAATGTGCATTTTGTGTTTACTTTGTCCAAATGCTGAGATTCACTATGATTCTATTGAGCAAATTATTACGGTGCTCTGTGGAATGGATGGCATTTCTCAATTTGCGCTTTGTAAGTCCTCCTAACTCATGTATGAACCATAGACTCACAAGTAAGGTATGCTGCCATGTTGGTCTGAGAAGTGAGAACATTGTTAATGGATTACATTTCTTAATTTGTGGTTGTTTACACTCATGTACTCTATGTGTTAGAACTTGACATAATGTCTGAAGTAGGAGAGGACAAGAGGTTTTGGCTCTAAGTAATTAATGCTCTAAAGCAAGGTGACAGTTGTCTTAGCAAGAATTATATCTTGTGCAAGTTGTATTGTGTTTTTGCCTAGCGTGGTTTTAGCCTTATTGGCTATCATCTTGCATTTGTATTTGTATCCACCATGACCAATTCTTAAGGGTGTTATAACCTAGGAGTATTGATCAAGTGTTCTGCAGCAATGATATGTTTTAGAATAATTGTTATCCTGTTCAAATTTTGTGTGCTCCTAGCAACGCACAGGCCATTAGCTAGTATATGCAACAACAATGTAGTGGTACAAAGTGGCTAGTAACAACAACGAAAATGCAATTATGCAAATGCCAAAGGAGATGTTGGTTTTACCTGGATACACAGTGTTTCAACATTGGGAAAACATCTCAGAAAACTTGGCAGCATCTTGACCTCATTGTGAATTCTGAACTGCAGGTGCAGTGCCAACATCCGCACGCTTGGAACAGTCGTTTTTGGACTTGGCTTTGTTCTTGACTGCAATGCACAAAATAACAAAACCATGACACTATCTCATTAGACTCTTCAATTGGCAGATATCATTTCAAGCATTGATAGAAATGAAGATAAATGGAAACTGGGACCTTGATAACTGTGTTGCCAATCTCCAGTACGTGCACTCCTGGCTCCAAGTAACCCAGCATTCTCAACTGAGGGGCATGGCCAATCTTGACTCTCACGCTTGAGCTTGGGCACCTCCAGACGAAGAGCCGCTCCAGGCATGGGGCGTCCACTACTGACACTTCTTCAACAAAGCATAGACAGAACTGTGCGCAGCGTAGACTGTGGCTGGCAAGACGGGCGCGCAACTTCACAGTTCCAATAAAGGCTAGGATCTCAAGCACCGGACTAGCGGAGAGCAGGAAGTCGAGGTCGCGGTCCTCGAGTGCGACGGCACCTAGGACGAGCTCCTGGAGACTGGGGAAGGAGACGCCATGTGGGAGATTGGCTGTGTCGACGAACCTCCATGCGCCGAGATACAGGCGGCGGAGGGAGGCACAGCTGAAGAGCGCGTCGGGGATGCGCAGGTCAGCGAGGGGAGAGGGGCGGTTGACAAAGGCGAGCTCCTCGACGCCCTTGGTGGCGAGGAGCTGGAACCAGAGAGCGAGCACGGCGCGGTCCGCATCGACGGCTTCCATGAACTGGCAAGAGAGGCTGACGAAGGGGAACGGTCCAGGGTGCGCGCGGAGGGCGTCGGAAACGGCGCGGCGAACGGCGCCCGAGACGGCGCCAGGGCTCGGGGGCCTGCCCTCTGCGCCGCCGCGGGGGAGGAAATGGGTGTCGGCGAGGACGAGCGGCGCCGAGCACCAGAGACCGCGCCAGCGCGTAGAGAGCACGGCGGTGCGGGCGCCGTCCTTAGCGGGGAGGCAGGCGAGGACGCGGCGGAGGATGTCGTCGGGGAGGCCACTGATGCGTTCGACTCCTTCACCTTCCTCGGCGGCGGCGCAGGACAGGGTGGCGGCAACAGAGGCCGAAGGCTTGGGGAGGAAGCTGTAGATGAAGTCGAGCACCATCTGCTGGTAGACGTCCAGCGTCCGCGGATCCAGCCCGTGCCGCATCAATGCGGGCGCTGTGTCATCCGTGCTCAGCGCACCGGACGGCGGCCAGCACATGTAGGCGGGGATGGGGATGCGGCCGCCGCCGCTCATGTCGCAGGGTTTTGGGTGGCGACTGAAACAGAACTGAACTTGGAACTTCCGGACTCGGGACTTGGGAGTAGAGTATGGCTGTATGGAGCACTTGGGTATGGGTTTGGGCTGGACCAGAGCTGAAAAGGTGGATGGGGCCGATAACTCACTATCGAAAGCTGAAAATGTCCTGGTTATTTCTCGGCTCGAATAAGGAACACCCGAAAAATAAGGGTGCCAAAAAAAATAATCAAAAAAAAATAAAGCACGACTATAGTGCTAAATTTTCATCATGAAGAACCTATCATGAATGAATTTCATATGTGTATGGATGTTTAGTTTGTCATGAGAGTTCTTATGCAACGGCGTCATACAGCAGCACTCAAAATGCTTTGCCTGATCGGCTCCCTTAACTTCAGTGTAAGAACTATCAGGGCAAAAAAAAAAAAAAGGGGGCTCCGTTTGGCAGCTCAGTCGGCGGACACAAGCGCTGCAAAGCATTTAATGTTTATATTCTTCTACCAAGCGCAAAATAAACCATATGATCAGATTTTATATTTAATGAAGACATTTTATTTTTATATTCTTCTACCAAGCGCAAAATTAAACCGTGATTTACAACCAAACTGTATGATCAGATTTTTTTTATATTTAATGCAAAATACCAAAAATTGATATCTGGAGAGATAAAAAAGCTGCTAAACAAGCCCTAGCAAAATACCTCTGGTCAAGCTGCTAGTACAGCCCCTGAGCATTAAAATACCAACAACCTTTTCTACCACCTCCCATTCTTCCCGATGCCTGCCTAAATTTTTTTGTTTGCTCATATTTTGTACCGGTGCAATGGCGCCTGTGATGATCGATATTTCAACAGAATCCTTCACAATGTACGCTATTGTTTCGTGGTCGCCGATCCTCTATTAATGGACAGGCAGACAGCATTGCTCTTCGATCTCTGCTCTGATTTGCATGTCCCTTATTACAAAACGAAGCCGTACACCTCATCCTCGAGCATGCTTGCTCCTTCGATCTACACTTGCAAAGTAACACAGCCAGAAGCAGCTGCAGCAGCAGCAGCTGCAGCGTGGCCATCCCGGCGAGCGACACACGGCCGGTTCATTGCCCTCTGCTATGGCACGCCTGCCTCAGCGCCACGGGCGGATCCGAGAACGCGCCGGCGACGATCTGGTCGAACACGAACTTGTTGGCGGCCTCGGTGAAGTGCACGCCGTCCCAGCTCACCCTCTTCGAGGGGTCCTCGCACGACTTCCCCACCACCACCGACGTCCCGTTCACCTGCTTCTTCCCGCCGCAGCCGATGCTCAGGTCTAAGTTGTATCGGCCGCCGCCGTGCCCGCAGCAGGTCAGCAGAGGGTCATCGAAGCCTGCATCACAGACAATACAAACATGAGCTCCCCCGCGCGTGGAAATGTTCAGAGCCTGCATTACAGACAACACCAACGTGAGCGCCTTACCGAGCTTCTTGGCCTGGCTGATGAGCTTGTACTTGGCGGTGTAGACGTCGACGTAGGTGAACGCGGCGTCAGGGTGCGTCTTCCGGAGGCTCGCCACGGTCTCCTTGAGCCTTTGGTTGAAGAGCTGCGCGACCTTGTTGTAGGTGACGGAGCAGCCAGTGCCGTCCGCTGGAGTGGCGAGGTCAGGGCGGTGCAGCAGCGCGTAGGGCAGGCAGCCGAGCGGCCCTGTGTTGTGGATCCAGAAGTACCTTCCTCCACGCGAGTACACGCTCTGCAAATTTGCATATATTCAGCTAATGAGCAGACGATCTATGTAACGGTGTGTGTGCGACATCTTTCAAAGAGCAACTTGATGCCGCCCTGTCAAAGAGCACCTGGATTATAGATGTGAGCCTCTCCATCAGATCAGGGATTATGGCTTCGACTTCTTCTTCAGTGCTATTGTTAACAAAGTAGCTTGAGGTGATGTCGTTTTGACCGATGTCGAAGGTGTAAAGTGCCTGGGAGAAGTACTCTGCCCTTGGTAGGATCTCCCTGTAGATACCGCCTACATGTAAAAGATAAAAGTGTTTTAAAATAATTTTTTAACGGAGTAAAACATAAATACTATCGAGCTTGCTGTGGTACTGAATACTGATAGAGATGGTTTCAGAGGGTTTCTGTTGTCACCTTTGTTGTTGTAGACGAGTTGGCTTCTGTTGATGAATTGTTCAAACTCCCAGAACTGCACGTCCAAGGAAATGGGGCTGTAGCCAGAGAGGAACAGAGATGTATTCTGTCTTCTGATTGACGAACCAGCTGTTGCAAAATTGGCTCCCTGTGTGAAGTTGCTTCCAATTGAGTTCAGGTACGCGCTGAGGTGAGTTAGTCCCAGGCTTTCAGCTGCAGTTCGGGAAAAAAAAAAAAGATAATACATTAAGAAGCACCACTTTGTCATTTGATCGCTGAAGAATAACTGTCTTGGCACTAGTCTATGGCAAAACAACTCGACGCTTTACAACAGTACACTGGCAGTCTAGTGACAGAATTTTTTGTTACCAGCTGACATTCAGTGCAAAATACAAATTGTGAGGTGCATGAATTTGGCCAAAAACAGTGAAGCCATCAGAAAATTGAGTAGAGATATAGCACAAGGTAGTTTCATACAAGTTGAAGCCCCAAATTCTTGTGTATTCAGTTTCTTACTGAATTCCTGCATTTCTAACAGGACCTGCATGCATGTATTTTGTATCACTTCGACACTTCCTACTGTATGCTGTCCAGATTCTAAGTGTTGTATATACCCTTAAAACTACCAAAGGACAAGTTAAGAAAAAGTTAGTGTCACCCTTTATCCTTCAACTCTGGTCACAATCTATAAAGTGAAGCATCCATATATTTGATAAATATTCCTCCACTGCCACCCAAATCTGATCCCTGATCGTTCCCTCCTCATGCCTGTTTGCCCCCACTATATTTTCACGTACCTACCAGAATAAGCTAATGCTCTTTTCTGTCCTTCCCAGTATCAGCATCATCCCAAAAGGCTAACCTTGTTTGTTTCACCTGGAATGATCACTCGGAAAAAATCCTGGCTAGAATGCTAGCTAAATTTGTATAAACTTTATCAGTTGGATTAATTCTTGGGGTGATTCTACTGTAACCGAACGGGGCCTAAAGGAGTTCGTCTAAAATAAAAGGCTAAAGGAAAATCGGCATCCGCGTTGGCAGGCCAACAGGGGATCTCCATTGGTCGTATCTCCGAACAGCATGGGCAGTGGCCTATGATCGTATGCAAAGATGCTTTGCGCAAGTCACTGAACTTTTTGTCAGATTGTTTGGAATAAAACCAAGATCGTGCCGGGAGGCAAGCAGCTCAAAATAACCACACGCGTGCTCACGTGCTGGATGGCTGGATGGAGACGGGGACGCGCATCACGGTTGCCCTGGAGGCACGCCCGCACGCGCACGGGCCGGTCGAGCTCGAATGGAGCCCGTGCTCGCCCGGCACATGGCCTGAGAGGCTGAGACCGGTGTTTCACGGTTGCTCGGTTCGGCTCTGCTCGTTGCGTTCCAGCCGAGACGAAGGGCTCAGGTAACGAAAATTCTACATTTCTATACGGTAGAGGCTGTTTTAGCTTGTCGTTTCGGAGATCCTGAAGCAACCTTCTGGTTTTGGTTAGATTAATAATAAATGTACTTTTCTAATTATTTGGCTCATTTAAACCATCTTTTCAGGCGGATTTTGTGGTTGAGGCTCTTTGTGGCCTCCTCCCGCACACAAATGATACAAATACATTATTTTTACAAATCAAGCATCCAAATCACAGCGCAGAATCGTAGTCCCTAATTAAACTTAAAAGATTCGACCACAAATTGAGGCCTGTCAGGCCGATTTCATTGCGAGCTCCACAAGTCATTGTAATTAGTCCATTTATTTTCTGAAGCGTTATATTAAGTGGCACAGTGGAGGCGACTCACTGTGGCCGGAGCTTACGCTTGGCGTGCCTTGGAGACGGAGGGAAGGGCGATGGGGGGAATCTTTGAAGAATTTTGGGCCGCCGGCGTTTTTTGCCGGATTGGACCTTAGTCTCGATGGGGGATTCGCGAGGATCCGGTGCGGGTGGAGTAATCTGAATTTCGTTGCGTTAGACCAAATAAGAGAATAATTTTTTAGGAAAACAGATAACAACGAAAATTCTACTTTTTCTATACGTAAACTAGCTCTAGCCCTTGATCCCACCAGGACCAGAGTCTTGTTACAGGTTACTGCTCATTTTTCCCCCAAACTTTTCTTCGCCGCTGGACCAATGGCAGGACGAATTAACGCTGCATTCATTTGGTCCCGGCAAGTGAAGGCGGTTTTGGGTGTGTCAGACCGACGCGCAGTGCAATCATAGCCATGAGTGATGAGCAGGTGAAAAGTGAACAGTAAAATGCCCGCGCAGGCGAAGACCATGTCCATGGCGGCGAGTTCAGCGGCGGAGTGGTTCGGGGGCAGGCGAGACGTACGAGCACGAGCGTGCGTACCGATGAAGTCGATGACGAGGCGGCCGTCGCAGTAGCGGCCGGCGGGCATGCCGAAGAAGGTCCTGCCGTTGGGCGGCGGCGCGGCGCCGAAGAGCGACGACAGCCCGCCCGTGTCCGAGTTGGAGTCGCCGAAGTTGAACACTGCCGGGAAGTGGCAGTCGCCACCAGCGCCCGCGCCGGCGCCGGAGGCCCGCAGCGCCAGCGCCAGCGAGAGCAGCAGCAGCGCGGCTGCTCTGCTTCCCGCGGTGGCAGTCGCGGCCGTGGCCATTTCCCTCTCCCTGCGTGGCTGCGTCGCGACACGGTGGAGGCCCGGGGGCGGGGCCGGAGGAGACGAGGAGTGAGACTCGCGGTGCGCTGTGGCGGTGGACTGATGGAGTAGTGGGTCGTGGGTTTGGAGGCGGATGGGGACTGGTCAGTGGATGGATTAACGGTGCCGTGGCGGGCGCGGTGGTCAGTGGATGGATAGAATTAACGGTGCCGTGGCGGGCGCGGTGGTCAGTGGATGGATATGGGCCGGCACGCACGCGGTGCCGTGGC